AAATGTTTACACTGGACAAATGTGTGTTCCAAGCATCCAAAACGGCTTGAAAGAACACAGCCCGGCGCAGGGGGGAGCGGACGGGATGGCCTGGAGAATCCATTGCCTTTACAGAAACGGAATTGCCACTTTCAACCACGTGGCACCTCCCCGGTTGTGTCAAGAGTTTTGGTGTCCATGTCAGCTGAACTCAGCGAGGAGCGGCTGGCCTTCACATCAGGTGTCTGTGATCCAAGCAGGCTGCGGAGCCAAGAACATGCTGCTAGCAGTAGGGCAGTCTACAGCTGCGGGTGACAGCTGTCATGCAGTCAGTGATGCCTTACAGATGTCACCTGTAGGAACCATGCGTCCTATGCTAATTCACCTGGAGTCCCGTAAACAACGGCAAAATGGAAAAGTGAAATGAAAGGGCCAGGCGGATCCGGGGGTAATATCACTATCCTTTCAATGTAGTGTCATTTTAGTTGTTAAATAAGGGGCTTGACCAGGAGGACTCTGTCAGGTGAGCTGGAGAGGAAGCTCTTGTCTTGTGGAAATGAAAAGGAGATGTAACGCTCCTTGTGCTAAGTTTTACAAATTGAGATTTCTGTACTCAGAAGGTAATTTTTCAGAAGATAAATCTGTTCAAGTCATGCTGTGTAAAAACGTAAAGAGGCAGACAGGATTTTTTTCAGCCGTAACTATAATACCAAGGACCAGACTCTGGAGCGTGAAGTCAGAAAGGGCTTGATTTTTAAGGAATGCCTGGCTGGATCGTACTGTGCTGGCAATCAGAAGTGGGGGTAAGTTTCTCCATTCTAGAAGCTGGTTTGGAAAGTAATCTCCAGGGAGGTGGTAAGAACGACCTATTCACAAGCTCTTTTTTTGTGGATGGAGAGGAAAGACTTGGAAGGTATACAAATCTCCACAGTGATCTGCATTCCAGCTTGGGAGCTCAGTGTTGAGAAGGGGTAGGGCCAGATCTGTTCAGTATTCTCGAGAACCAGAAAACATGTCCATTGCAGCTCGTTGTTGCAGCGGATAGAGACCTTCATTCATTATTTGTAACATGTTCCGTATGCCAATAACCCCAGCAAAGTAGACACATTGCATGTGAAAATTTAACGCATCTCACGCAGCCATCCAAAGAGGCATCCAGGGAAAAACAGGAGGAATGAGCTCAGCTACGTTCTCAGAAAGTCTGAATGTCTCCCTGGACTGCAGGCACACACTGCAGCAAATACAAGAGAAAGGCTGCCTTATCTTGGATGCCAGGAGTGCGGGCACTAGTGGAGGAGGGATTATTTTTCCTGTAATAGGAGCAGGGAATATCTCAAAGTATAGAAAGGCGCCTCGACTCCATGAAGATGACAGTGGAGAGGTTCAGAATCTAGAGAATCTAGAGGCGATTCTGGTGACCCCTTGCCAAGGAGGAGGCATCCTGCCACGGAGAGCCAAAAGTTTTCCAGACGTATGTAAGAGCATGTGCACAAGGCGAGCGAATGAGCGCAAACAGGGTTATGGAAAACATTGAGAGAATCACTCCACGGGTGGCTTGTGGCTCGACAACAGGACTGGCTAGGTAGAGGAGCACACAGCATGGGGGCACCTCAGAGCTGGAAGCCTTCCATGGGAGCCTCGCACTGCTGGAAGATGTACTGCTGCTGGCTGATATCCACCTGTGGGGCAATGCTGCTGTCTTCGTCCTCTGTTCCAAAGTAGTGCTCAATCAGATCAAAGGCCTTCTGATAAATCTCTTGATTCTCATGGCTCTGCAGGAATTCAATCTTGTCCAGGCCTGCAGGGACAAGAAGTACATAAATGTTACAGCTCGGTGAAAGCATACGACCATGAAAATTTTCAGCCTGTTGTGAACAACAAGTTCCATGACGATTCTCCTCCACCTTCAGAAAGAACAGGTCCCTCTGCGGAGGCCCTTACCCAGCCTGCACTCTCCACAACCATGGAAAAACAGGTTAAACTACAGAGTTCTCTGTAACTGCATGACATGTTTCATACTTTGTTCTCTGCCTTTACTCTTTCACTTTAAAAAAAATGAAACCAACAGGCTTGAATGTGTATAGAACAAGGCCTCAAAGACTTTTTCTGAGAAGACTTTGAGAAAAATGTGTTCACAGTGCTTTGTTGACAACAATCATGACTACCAAATCACGTAAGTGCAAGTTGGAAGAGACTTCTGATAATCATCTAGTCCAACCTGCAACCCAGCCCAGCAATCCTACCAACACCAGATTAGGTCAGTCGGGTCTAGCCAAGTCTTCAAAACTTCTGAGGATGGAGACCACACTACCTAATCTCCATCACGTGTACATACAATGCAGTTAAACTCATGCAACCAGTTTTGGGGCAGATGTTAAGCAGATGGGCAAACTTAGGCCTTGTAGTCAGAAACAAATGAAAATAATACAGCTAAACTAAATTTTTGATACCTAGGAAGGATGCTATAATAAATAGTAAAATACAAGTCTTAGCTGCTCTAGGTCTCTAATACCGGGAATTGTAGTGGTTTTCCTGTCTACCCCTTTTACTGCCTATGAAGACTAGAGGAAACAAATCTCTGATACTCTATAGACTTTTCTGCAATACTGACATGAAAAGGGAATTTAAAACCTAGAAGCAGGCAAGAAAAAAATCCTATTCTGATATAACTCTTCCTTGGAAGTCAAGGGAACCACGGTTAAAGAAGCCAGGCTGACACTATCCTCTTCTATACTGCTCATGATAACCCATTTTTATTTTTCTTAATAAATACTTGCCAATCATTGACGAAACTAACCTCAAGAGCAGCAGTACCTCGGAACTGGGATGAAATCATGCCAGAACCTCAGCACTGCAAAGGCAAACAAGCAAGCTGCTGCTGCTGCCGTAATTCTACAGGGTAGCAGAGAGACGAGGGGATAGTGTGAAATGTGAGCGACAGGGCAGTGAGCCTGAACTTTTATCTGATGTGGAGGGAAGATACTGAAGCTGAGTAACACCCAGAAGGCTTCCTCAGGGTCAAAAGAAATTTAAAAAAATCATCTGCACACCCTATCTCCAATCTACATATAGACAAAGATAACATAAAAGATGGAGCACTTTGGTAAATGGCAACTTGTCAAAGAGCAGCTAATCTTCAGATGATATTGATGAAGAAATTAATAGAATTGGGTCTAGTGAAACTCGAATGGGTTCGTGATCTTTGCTTTAACCTCTGACTTCCACAGATGTTTTGCTCATACCATACGCTTCTTCGATAAGAGCGCAGTAAGGATTAATGCCGGTGCCACTGCGTTTGGATTCCTGCTCTCCAAGCCTCAGGATGTTCTCCAGCCCATTCAGTGCTACTTGCACAATCTTTGAGTCCATTACTGTAAGGAGGTCGCAGAGTGGTTTGATGCATCCCAGTTCTACTAAATACCTGAAAAACAACAAATGGCACCCACTAAATTGTCTGCAAAATAATAATTGGTGTAGCCATTTAAACACTTAGCATGAAGGTTTAAGAGCCAAAACAATCAGATAAAATATCAACTTGACTGGAGAAATTATAGACATCTATTTGTATCTAGTCATTCTTGCTGAAACAATGAAAGTTACTTTAACATACTTTCTCTATCTCTCTATAGATATGAAATAATTTAATTAACTTAAATGTATAATTCTATAACTATACTACACAAATATATTTCTGATTAATATCAACTATATTATTTTACTTATATTTTTACTGGTTTATTTTATACAAAATTTAACATAAGCATAATGTACCAATGTAAGTTAAACAGGAAAAACAAGGCACACAATGCTCTTGTCTGAAAGGCTAAGCTATTCCTCTCCAGACATAAAAGAAATGGTTCAATTAATTAAATTAGTATTACAGCTGAAATGCTGATACGATTTCTCCCTAAAGGAATGAATAGCTCATTCACAACTCATGGTCTCTCTGGATACAACACTGGAAGCATACAGAAAAGCTTTCCAGTTTCTAGGTTATCAGGTTGATTTCTTGCACAAACTAATTCACTCAGTTGCATTAAAATATTTGAACTACTTCATACTTGATCTGTTCAGCAGAGCCTCCAGATGTTGCATTCGTGATTGCCCAAGCAGCTTCCTTCCTTGTCCGAAACTCAGCTGTTTGCAAAATATTTATAAGCGCTGGAAAGATATGGGCATCTATGACTGTCTGCAAAAGGAAATGACACACCAGGGTTATAATAAAAATCAGAAATAACTTCCTTATCCTGAGCTAGTTAATGTCTGTGCTCAGCACAACACATTAATCAATGACATGTTACGTATCAAGAAGCAAAAAAAATCAGTTTTCAGTTTTACATTCAAATCTCTAGTTATCACCGGAGTCTGTGCTTATCCTAAAAGAATTCAAAACGCGTTCAGACTACAGCGAGTGCCATATCTATTGTGCTATTTAATCATACCTTGACAGCAAAAGAATACCATACTTCCCTTATTTTTCAAGGTAAAGAAACACTCAGCTATTAAGTCAATAAACCACTAAGTCATTAAGATCCCCTAAACAGATTTAAAAAGCCTGTGCATCATATTACTTTTCCATTGGGTGAGACAACAGAGCAAAGAAAGAATATATCATAAGAACCCCTCAAAATCAGCAGGCGCCAATATATTCTTTGCTGGTGAAAAAACAAAGCAATGGATGGTTCAGTAGCATGGTGAACTGCTTACCTCACCAAACCGATGTAAGTCAAATCAGTATTTAGACAGTAACTCAAAGCTTCTAGTTACTTGCTCTGGAAAGAGCCTTTTGAAGTAAGAGACAAACAAAACCAGTGATGCACATATGACAAGGTTCTGAAACGCTTCCATAATGATCATTCCAAGAAGGAAGAGCCTGAGATTACATTTGTAAACTACCCTTTGACAAATATAGTCATCACAGAACTGATAAAGGCAAAGTCAAAGAAAGCCAAAAAGATCCTTCTCTAGGAGCTCCACAGAAGAAAATGGAACAACATACATACAGTAAAAAGCTAGTCAATTCACAGTGCAGATAGTTACCTAGTGAAAAAACTCCAACTCTTTGACGTTTCTTTTACCCTTCCTGTTTGTCTGGCCCTCTGCACTCCATCTACTTTGTAAATCCACACCATGTATCAGTTCTATCAACAGTCCCATGAACTCTGTCTCCTTTATCACAGAATCTGTGCTTCTAGTACAGAAATCTGGGGCCCTCAAGGAAAATTACTTGGGCTTCCACCATGCCATGTTACATTAGATTTGTCCTTTGCAAAGAATATTTGGTGAGAAGTCCTTAATTGAAATTTTTGAACGTGAACATTGGAAGTGGCAGGTCATAAACAGGAGTTGGCTGTTTAAAAAAAAACTCACAAAAGATATAAGAAAGTATCTTCAGAAAACAGAATGCATTTTCCCCCCCTGACATATTTTACTAGGGAAAAAGACTTAATTTTTAAAAATTAAATCTGGGACTTTTTAAAAAATTAAATCTGGGACAATTACAAGGAAATTACTCGGGAAATCAGAAACGAGGCTAGAAAAGCTAAGGCCTCGATGGAGTCAAATCCGGCCAGGGACATTAGAAATAACAGAAAAGGATTCTACAGATATGTGAGAGAAAAAACAAGAAAGAATGTCAGGCCTCTCTGGAAGGATACAGGCGACCTGGCTACTGAGGACATAGAGAAGGCTAAAGTACTCAACAACTTTTTTGCTTCAGTCTTTGCTAGTAACCACTAGCCATCATACCTGAGAAGTCATGGCAGTCTGGTGAGGTTCCCGTAGATGGGAAAAGGGGAAAATCAGAATTTTTTTTTTTAAAAAGGGAAGCAAAGATAACCCAGGGAACTACAGATCAGTCAGCCTCACCTATGTGCCAGGTAAAATCATGGGGCAAATCCTCCTGGTAACAGTACTAAGGCACAAGAAAAATAGCGAGCTGATCGGTAATAGGCAATAGAGCTTCACTAAGGGCAAATCATGCCTGACTAATTTGGTGGCCTTCTACGACAAAGCTACAGTGCTGGCTGATGTGGGAAAAGCAACTGATGTCATTTTCCTGGACTTGTGCAAGGAGTTTGACACTGTCCCACATGACATCCTTGTCTTTATGATGGAGAGGCATGGACTTGATGGATGGACCACTCGGTGGATAAAGAACTGGCTAGAAGGTTGCACTCAAGGAGTTGTGGTCAACGGTTCCATGTCCACATGGAGACCAGTGACAAGCG